AGCTCTAATTGGAGACATTTTCTCGATAGAGATGCTCTGGAGGCTCTCCGGTGCCTCTGACAGATATTATAGTAGCCATGTCACCTACTTTTCCTCTTGCGAAGGCCTCCTAGGTCGCTGGCTGTGATGGCCAGAAACAGCTTCCCAGAACCGTTTAAAGGCACGGTTCACGATAAAAAATCTTACTGAGTTTTTCCTTTAGGAGTACTCAGCGCCACCCATGGGTGGTAGAAGGGACCCTCTCGCTCCTACAATTTCGGCGCTCAGGGCATAGTGGAAGCCCTGTTGCTGCCGTAATTGGCTTTAATGCCCTAGATCGATGTCACGTCGGACGAGTGACGAGACAATACAGATTTCAACTATTTCAGCTGATCGCCGAGTGATGAGGCGATGTTTTTCTCCCATTCTTTTTTACTCTCTTATTCTATTTGCTGCTGCGATCCCTTATTTAACTTCCTACTCCTGGAGGCTGAAAAAGGTGAGCTACTTTTGCGGTTACTAAGGTTTTTTTTGTTTACCTATGCTTATAAGTGAATGAATTTTTGCTTACCATAGTCTTTTATTCGCATCAAGACCCACACGCACGCAGTGAGACACATTGTACAGCTCGTCCGATCGCCCCACTCTTCTTCATTTTTCTGGCCTCTTTCTCGTCCAGCCCCCTTTGTAACGGTTTTCGAAGCCATTTTTCACTTTAGAAACTCCGATTCACGCAGTTTCTTCACCTTCATCGCACTATTTTCGATCTCGTCTTCCACTTTTCATCATTATCTGGATTACCCGAAATTATCGTGAACTCTGCCTTTGACTCTCTTTCTAATATCTTTGAAATGATTCTGCAAGGTGCAGAATGAGTGTTTATCGGTCGGTGAGTATGGGATGAGACAAGGTGTAGCATTCAGTATCAGTACGTATGGCTAAGATTTTTTGTGATCGTTCTTTACATATGAGTTGGTCTGCATACGGCATATACGACTCCAAAATATTGTCAATGAAATGTTTAAACACGAGTTTCTCAGCTAGTTTCTTATTGTTACGTTCAGTTTTCCTTTCATCAGCCTTCGTGAGTGTTCGTCTTTCTTCCTGTCTTTTCCACCGATTTGGAATTTGTTATGGAAAAGGGGCATTGTTCGTGTGATGATTCAGTACAACGTTCTATACTG